TGTTTTTGGATAATTTTTAAGTCTTGCAATTTTTAATTTGAGTTTATTTTTAATCATAATTGAATTGATGACTAATCTACATAAGTAATTTCAAGTTTGATCATTTATATTTATCTTATTTAGGATTAAGTATTTTAGGTAAAAAGGAAAAAAATTCAAAATATTTTTCTATATTTTGTTAAATATTTCATATTATTACTTTTAACATTACTCCTGATATGTCTTTAGAAATTTGGATTATGGGTTTACCAATACTTGTGTAGTTACAAATAATCAATCAATAATACAGGTCTAATAAACTTAGTTTAAAATTGAATAGAATCTTAATAAGTTGCCAGATAGACATTTACCTTCAGTAGGATCAAGCGCATTTAAATAGTTGTTATTAATAATCTATTGTAATTAACAAAAATCAACTCATTCAAAATGCTGATTTAATGACAGTCTCATTAAAATAGAATTTTAATATTTCAGATCTAATTGATTATTTAGCTAAAATACTTACATTCTTTCTCAATAATATAAGTTTAATATTGATGTCTTTGTTAATTAGAAATTTGTTCATTTATCAACTTATTTACAAATATCACCTTGAAATTAATTAAAGATGATTCTAACTAAGCTAAGTTCAAAGGATTTTTAATCAACTACTCAGAATAATAGTTAAAAAATTAAACTACATAATCAGTGATGTTAGCAAGTAATGATGAAATATTGGTATCAGGAACAGATGTTGACCGATGATGAAACTCTTTCAAAGCTTTAATAGATTCAAATGGATCAAAATTATTCATTGTCACAAATAAAAGTTAATTAATTATTTTAACATTTAATTATACATTTGAGAACCAGTTTCTATGTATTCAACATATTCAATGGTTTAAGTATAAAAAAATTTAATACATCTATCAGCAGAATAAATAGAATTAATATAACATTACTTATTATCATTTCATCTTGATGCTAAGAGTTGTTCATATAATGAATATTTTAATCCAAAATATTTTTAATAGATTTATTTTGACATTTAACACCCTTAACTAAAATTTATCTATCTCTATTTCCAGTGACTAGTAAGTAATTATTCCATCCAATTCTACCCCAATCTTTCTATTTTACTATATACAAAACATCAACATCATCAATATAGATCTTAATTTCGTTGAGACCATGTGTAATTAATAGAGAGACCTTTAAAATATGTCCTGACCACAGAGAAGAGAATTTCCAAGTCCTGCTGCTAATGTATTAAATTGTGACTGATATAATAGATTGAAGTAAAATCATCTTATAAATTTTCAACTTTCAATATTTTGCATGGTCTTATATTAGTTTAATCCATTATTAATAATATTATTCATTTCATTTTATTTTTCAGTTTATAATTAAAAAGTTTAAATTTATGGCTAGTATTTTCCTAATATTAAGGATTAGAGAATGTTATTATAAGTATTGCCTAAAATTTATCTCCACTCATGAATAACTTAAAGATTAATTAACAATTAAGTGAAATGAACTTTATATATTGTAATACATATTTATACTCCATCACTTTCGTCTTTAGGAAAAGTCCAAGATTATTTATTTAGTTCAATCTCCTTATTGTTGTTTACTTATTTATTGGAAAAAAAAGATATGGATATTTTTTAATAAAATTTATCTTAAAAAATGTATTTTGATTCAATTATTTCCATAACAAATACAATTAGTATTAATAAATTTATCCACTTTAATAATATTAAAAGCAAAAATGATGAATCAAATAAGTATTGTTTCATTTAGTCAACTTTAAACAACATTGATAAGTTTACAGCTTTTGCATTAGATATAGAAATGATTGGAAATCTAAGAAATCATTTTTATTTTGCTAAAGACAATATAGATGGAGAAAACTTCATCATTTAATTATTTCATATTCAATTTGACATAAAAATTGATGGTTATTTATACTTTACTTAATGTTCACAATTATCTATAAGATTTGAAAAAATTAATAAAAGATCTCTAAAATAGTGAGAAGATAAATAAATATTTATTAAGTCCGATATTTTCAATTATGATATTGATTCAAGTAAATTAATTAAAGACACAATTAAAATTTAATTCTACTCCTTTCAAAATTTGATAGATTATGCCAAAAATTATTTAGTATAATTTAAATCACAACTAATACTATAAGATTTACAAACTAGATTATAAAAGCTGAATAAATATTGTTGATTAAGGATATCTAGATTCTAAAGTGTCTCTAATTTGAAGGCAAAGAAACAAAAAAGAATATTACAATAATTAATTATAACATTTAAATTACAAAAATAAAATAAATAATTGCCTAAGTTACAATTAAACTTCCAATTTTAAGTCATATTTAATAAAATAACTTAAAATTTTCTTTCTTATTCAATATTAATTTTAAAGTGTCTAATATTTCATTTCACTAGATTTTTTCTCTTCTATAAACTAATTTAATTGTTTAAAGAGCATTGCTCAATTTAAATTCCCCTTTCTTTTTCATAATTCAGCCTTAATTAAGTCCTGCAACAATGATTTTTATTTCTAAAAAAATAAATCTTTCATTATAAAATTAATTTTTAAATAAAGATAATTATATTTCAAAAATATCAGGATCATCAATTTAAGATTTTTTGGTAAAGTATAGCCTTTATAGCAATAATCTTTCATCTATTTTTCATTCTCAAAATAATAAATATTCCATTAAAAAATACTATAATAATAATTTATTTTTTTAATTGTTTTTTATCTATTCTCCTCAATGTTATGTAGATTTTGAAGCAAATTAATAAAAAATTAAAAAAAATATGGTTATATCCTTCATAAATTGAAATGAACTGGTATATCCTCGCGGGTAAGTTTGAATTAACTTGAAATTAAATTAAATATGCGTCAATGCATCAATAATATTGTGTTTTTTCAAATTGTTTTTGAACTCCTGTTATTGAGGTATACATTGAGACGCATGAATAAAGCCAATAATAGAATTTCTAAATTTATAATATTATTGGAATTTAGAGAACAACAAATTAGAGTATTTCTTAATAGAAACTTCTAAGAGAAAATAACTTCGTAATTTAAAGAAATATATTTAAATTACGAAATCAGAGTATTTTAATGGATTTTTTTGGATGATATACTATGACACTATAGTAATACTATTATTAAGCTTTACTAGAGCAGGAAAAAATATTACTTTATACAATATATTCAGATTTAGGTTTAAATACCTAAGCATCACTCTATTATGTATACAATTATTTATTTGGGCCGTAGAGGCAGCTTGTTGTTGATAAAATAATTGAATCAATTAGCTTAAAAAAATATTCATAATTAGTTGCTATAACTTGAATATTTTGTTATTAGGATTATTTGTGGCAAGATGATAACAATCATGCTTAGCTTCCTTATTTGAGACTATCATGGTGATTTCATGTTTGGTTACTAGTGTTCTCCAACATTCTTTTAAGTTTCTTTCGTTGCTTACATTAATTTTATGTTCAACAACTCAAACAGGAAATTGGAATAAATTTTTCTTTTACTAGCATGTCTAATATTTTATCATATATAATTAGTATACAACTTAATATATTTAGGCTATTATTTAGATCAATATTTTAATTTATTTACATTCTATGTCATAATTGCTGTAATCTATTATTTTTTAAGCATTATTTTTTTGTATTCAAGATAATCAATAAAGCCTTAGATAAAAAGCTGATCAGTTTTGAAAGTTGTTAAATAATAATTCTTTTATTTATACAAAATAAATTACTTATAGGAAGTATTCAGAAATTCATATTTTTGCTGGCTTATTGAATTCTGTAATTTATTGATAAATGCCCGTTCTTGTATTAAAGCTAAGATTTTAAGATTTGGTTTTGTATAATAAAATCTTTATAAATTTCTTAATAACTATAATAAAATAATGTTATTTGCTAATATTTTTAGGGTGTATTTTAATTAGATATTCAGTTAGTTCAATTTCCTTTTTAGCTTTAATAGTAAAACCAAATAAATCTCAACTCAAATATATGCGTTTGCAGGTTTCTATTTGTGCTAAAGTATTGAATATGGATTATCCTCTATTTGGTGGATATTTTTATTTAAAAACCTTTAATTTAGAACTTTTCTTTTTACATTA